ATACTTGTTTTATGTACATTTTTCGGTGAAATCAAAACAAGAATCTTGGAGAGGTTTCTATTGATGGTCGGTTTTATAAAATCTGTGGGTGAAATCCTGGCTTTGGCAAAGTAACGGAGAGTTTTGTCATTGACCTCAGCAGTGCCAGGAATTCACCCTGTATGTCTGGTTTGGTTTCAGTGAACTTCATTTTCAGCTCAGATCAAATTCAATGTTGTTCCTTTAATTCTCATGGCAAACACATCCAAGGGAAGCACACAGGAGTTCAAGAATGTAACCTATTGTTTCCAAGCCCTGTTCTCGTTTACGTCCGTTCCCCTTTAAAGTAAATTCACTACTACAGCATCAGAGATAGGAGAATCCGACTCTCCACTGGTATCAAATGGAGTAGCCCCATTTTCTGTGCGGAACCAATGGAGATTTATCCTGGTGGGAAGCAGATGTGGCTCCAATCCTGTGCTTCTCAACTCATCCACTGGTCAGCTGGAATGAGGGAGAGTGGCTGGCGGTGATGATCTGAATTAGCCCTTTTCTGCTCTCCATCAGCTCTGTTCCCATAGGGCTCTCCAGTCCTTGCTTTCCTGAGCCCTCCTCTAGGTTGCTTCACTCAGGAGTTAGGGCTGATTTCTTTTTCTAGCTGCTCGTTCCACGGCAGCCATTTGAACGGGAATTCCAGCTATGATCCTTCTGTCTCTACCCTCTTCAGTGCCAAAGGCAAGACTCCAGCTGACTCTGCTAACGTATGAAAAAATATAGTTGGTCTTGCTGTGCAGAGCTGAAAGGTGAAATGACATATCGTGATATGATTGTTTTTCTGAAACAGCAATTTTCATGATCCTTTCTCTGTCTCTACCTTCAAACAGTATTAGTGTGGGTATGTCAACCGAGGGTGAACAGCACTGCGCATGGTATAGGATAACATTACTCTGGAAAAAACTTGGATTTTCACCCTTTTAAAATGTCAGAATGCAGCGTTTGGGTGTTAAGTTGAAGGGAGGATTCCAGGATGATCTGCAGAAGACTTTGGAGGAGAGAGGAGTACTAGATAGGCTCCAACTTGTTCAGGGTAGCTTCCCTAAGCTCCCCTGTATTCCATGGAAAGAGAACAGTCCTTCTGGAGTTTTGGAAAAGGACTCCATCTGAAGTTGTCCTTTACAAGAGGCTCTTTCTCATCCATGGAGCCTATGGAGCCACGGTTTTGTTGAGCTAAAGATGGCATTTTTGAGCCCTTATTGTCCCAACTTGAGATAGGTTGATGCCGTAGGATATAAAACAGTCCCTGACGCTGTTAGAGAAGGAAGATACCACTGCTAAGAACAAGGTGGTCTTTCCAAGTCTTGTGATGGTTTGGTTGCTTGTTAACTGTGATGGGTGAAATCCCTGTCAAAATCAATGGTAAAACTCCCCCTGATTTCAGTCGAGGCAGGATTGCCTTTCTCTGCTCCTAACCCTTCAGAAAGGGTGAAGCTAAGCTGTGTATATTTACTGGCTCTCTGATTCTATAGCCTGTTTAATGTCCTGAGAACTGCATCTATTCAGGCCAGCTCCCACACACATTTCACCTCCCCCCCTCACCGAAGACCGTGCTTCTTCCTGGGTATCTGCTGTCCTGGGGTAAAATCGCTTGCTGACATTGCCTGTGTTGACTCAGTCAACCACTGTTATAATCATAGCGAGAAATTACAGTGAGAGAAATTATAGCTCTTTCTGGCTTGGTGACTTGGAAGCCAGCTGCCTTTTGAACTTGACTAGCAGTTATCCTAATAACATGGAGAATGTAGGCTAGGGATATGAGCCTTTGTGTCTTGGGAGGTTCAGAAAATGAAGGGGAACTTCGAATGGGCTGCAATCTGCTTCCTAATGCTTTACCCGGCTGTTAAAGAGCTCGTGTGCAGGGTGGCAGGGGTTTTCAGGAGTGTGTTAGCTGCTTAGTGCCGATCAAATTTGTGGTGAGT